TATCTATGAGGGCAGGCCAAATTTATCCTTAATTTAACCTCATTAGTTTTACTAGAGTTGCTGGGAATGTCCAATAATGTAAAAAACATATAGCAAATTGTTGAAATATGAGTTTCTTGAATAAAGCAACATAGACAGGGCTGTAGACTCCAATCCTTTAGGGCTATTTTGCACTGTAGAAGCAGTGCAAAATGCCAGTAAAGCATCCAAAGATAGCTGGTGAAAAGCTGACAGAAATGGTCCCATTTAACTCTTTCATTCCCCTCCTAGGAAAAGGAAAAATATTTTGAAATGGTATAGATAGAAAGGAGGAAGTGTCTAATCTACACCTTAGTGTGGTACAGACTTGTGTGAAGACAACATGACCTAGGATCACTAAAGTGCAACCACCTCCCTTACCTGTTCCATCTTAGATGAATTGGAGAATCTGAATCTCAGAGTTACTGAGTGTTCCCAGATCTCACTGACTTCAGTAGATGTGGTTACTCAATACTTGTAAATCTCATCCTGTCCCTGAATATAGGGTCTGATTTTAGGCATCCTTGTTGAAAAATAGGGGCAGCCAATCGTTAGATAAATGATTTCTGGAAGGAAAATAGGTTCATGTGATCGGCTCTAAAGAGTTGTCTTGGAACCTGGATTTGGTCTCAAGTGAAAAGGATTGTTGGCTCCAATTATGTATCCATTGGACTTATGTCAAAATAACAAATCCACATAACAATTTAGCTTCATTTAGCATAATGGACACTCTTGTTTAAAGTATGTGTAAAATGACAAGGGTGTTAAAAGCTAGGATTTAAATTCATAAGCACATTTCAGAATGTGCTTCTTATCCCAGTAATGAACAAACAACATATGTTCTGAAGATTTGGTTTGTATAAGTGTCCATCCTTCTCAAGGGCTGCAGATGAAACTGTAATTTAGAATAGATTTTATTATGAGATTTCAAATATTCCTAGTACAGGTTGGGCAGAAGTATACAGGATCATGGACAGGCTCCATGGAGCTCAGGACAAGATGGTACAGCAAGGCCCGAGTGTTACCCAGTCCCCATGTCATTACCAGGAATCCTGGTTTTCTTTGATTAAAAAATAATCCCCAATTTTTGGTTAAAAGAAAACAAACCCCAAATCCAATTTTTTCCATGATTAAAATGAAATGTCATTATCTCTCTCTCTCTCTCTCTCTCTCTATATATATATATAAATGGTGTTTCATGTAAATCAAGGGAAGGCATGGATTTTGGGTTACTTTAATGAAAAATGGGGATTTTTTTAAATCAGAGAAAACCAGGGTCCCTGGTCTTTACCCACGGTTACCTTCTCCCCACAGGAAGGTTCCCTTTCTTACCTTGCACTTACTGCTCCTACCCAACATTTTTATTTCCCTTTCACAGCAAGACAAACAGTCCCATCCCCATGACTAAACACTAATTCACTAGATATGCTTCCCTTAGATCCCATACAAATATCCAAAAAATAGTTAATTGTTACCTACCTACCCACCCAGGCATCCATGCATATCTTTCTTCTCTTTCTGAATATGAGTCTGTGAAAGTTGGGGGATAGTGGCATCTGGCTGGGCCTGCTGAATGATACTTTTGAGTTGCAAGATTAACCTCTTCTTTGGGCTTTGGTGAAAGAAGTCCCTTAGGAATCCTGTCAACTGGTTTGCAAAAGATGAAGGCCTAATATGGAGTCTCATGGCTAAAAACAATTGTTTCTGTGGGACTTGGTTGGCAGAAAACAGGGTCCAGATGAAATCCAAATAATACTATATCACAGCTTCCTGAAATAGCTGCATGCAAGTCTTATTGGTAGATGCAGGCTGATCAACATTTTAATACAATACAGTCCTGAGACAGGGTTTGTAACAAATGTGACATAAATAAGCCCTGGGTCAATTCTGGGTTGGGAGCACAAATGCCCAATTATGCTTTCATGGAGACAACTTTGGGAAAGTACTTTAAGAACTGGCATTTATGGTACCAGTATGACTAAAGTCCGGAAGTACAGAGACATGGTACAGCATCTTTCTACATGGAGATGCTCTAAAGAGATATGTACAGCTCCAGGATCACCTCAGACTTCACAGCATCTGCAAGATTGAGAAGGGAAGCTTGTTTTTACATTTGTTTTCCACCAACCTGAGAACCTCTGGGCCCACAGACTGGACATCAACAGACCATTCCACATGGACCAGTCTGGCCAATGCCAATTTAGTAAATATGGGAAATAAGAGCTTTTACTGTCCATACTGCTTCTCAGTTGGGCAATAATCTTTAGTCCACTCTCTTTAAAATGCGTGCCCATGCTGCAAAATATAGGAAGTTGAATCTACAAAACATATAAGGTTCATGTCTAGTACTGCTGACAGTATTTGGTTTTACCTTGTCAAAAGGTTTAGATTTTTACCATAGTTTTAGGTATGCTACCAGCCCTAACTTTGTGAGAAACAGTGAGAAGTAGCCTCGAACCTTTGCTCTTGTGTTTTAATTTCTAAGTGCCTTTGCCGGCTTGTCTGTGTATGCTAGAATTTGTTCTGCATAACAATCATAAGGAAGAACTAGTCCTTGCTTGAGACAACTTTGGAATTCCAGGAAGGACTTAGAAAGATTGTTTGGCTGTTTTGTGGTATTATTTAGTCTGAATTATTTGCCCATCCCTTATTTACCCACATTATGCCCGGCTCCTGCTACTGCTCTCAATCATCAGCTTTCATGAGCAACAGAATTCCACCCCATCAACAAAACAGGAATAAATGTTTATCATGTAATTCAACATGCAATTAAAACTATGCAGCCCTTTATAAACCAAAATATTTACAGGGAACGAAAAGCAAGCTGTCACTAGATGAAAAAAAATCAGAATATCAGTAACAGGACTGTCCTGATTAGAGATAATTTTTCTAGCAAATGCTAAAACTTAAACACCAATGGTATTAGCCAGGCTGGGGGATGAGTGTGTAACTTTGTGCCTTTTGCTATCATCAGCTTTTTTTAAAATGAGGCGAGGAAGGAAATGATGGAGTTGGCACTGTTGCAAAGTTTAACATGTCATCGCCTTGGCTTAGTTGAGAAACTTAAAAAGAAATTACAATTATCAAAGTACAGTACAGTTTTTATATTTAATACATCTTCCTGTGGGAATTCTTTCATATTCCCACTACAACTTCTGCCACCACTCAGTTTGTTGTCCACCCTAATTTATTACCAGGCTCTCTCTCTCTCTCTCTCTCCCTCAAAAAAAATCCATTTATTTCAGCTACACATCAGTGCTTGTGAATGACCCCAAGGATGATAACCTTAGGCCTATGTCATAGGTTTTGGTCTAGAGCAGTAGATTCCCAAAGCACAATTACAGGAATTCAAGTTATTAAGTAGCAGGGCCTTTATTTCCCTAGAGATACTAGTGTGGAAGTCAAGGGAAATACAATGACGTTGTTAACTTTGTATTTATAACAGTTGGTATTCCCACCCTCAGCTGCATTGTCTGAAGTACTATTATTATTTTCATAAGGAACACAGAAGGCAATTTTTTTATACAAATGCCTTATTTCTGTAGATATGGGCAAAAACATTTTTTCACTGCCAGTTTATGGTCTATTAAAAAAAAATCAGCATACTACTTAAAACTTTGAAATTAGTTTAATTAGATGCATTAGTTTAAGTGACAGTCTTTTAAAGAGATGAGATGCTAAGTCCTAAAAATAACCACCTCTATTATCACTTCTTTGCTGAAGGTCTTTTTAAAGATATGGAAACTGAGGCAGAAATGTTAATGACTGCAAGGCTACCGGGGCAGTCACTGTCAACAGGGAACTCAGCAACTGCTGACTTGTGTCCAGCACTTAGATTTGTAAACTATGTCCCACTGTACGTCCTCTTATTTTTTTATTCCTCTTTTCTTTTCTCTTTTCATTCATTTCTCTTTACCCCTTCTGTGTCTTCTCTTCTTGTATTTATCTAAAATATGCAGAAATATCTATAAACCGTTTGGAATAACAATATTTGCAAGTTCTTTATACCCTTGCAGGAAGTTCCTGTACCTTGGCTACCAACTGATTTTTAGATTCCCCTCCTTATAACTAACTTTATTTTTAATAAATAAAAGATAGGCTCACACTGCCATCTTCACTCAAGATACAGCCTAAGTTGAGCTCATTTCCCCCCTAAGGTCACAATCAAAACAAGCAGAAATCTGGAAAACTAGCTAGTTTTAAAATAGCTATGGCTTTCTATTTTCAACTGGGATTAGAAGTAGGAATGTTAAAGTTTTCAAGTAATTGCTATTCTGACAATGATTTTGGTTTAGCTGATCCCAGGAAATACTTGAGACACACCCTTGTCAGAAAGGTGCTGCTCACAATGACCTCTCAATAGGTTCAGGGAGACATTAATTCAGCTTTTTGGTAGCTAATCCAAACTTTTCAAGGTTTTCCATGAAAATATGTCTTTAAACATTCAGCTGCATTTGCTCCCAAATTTGAGGTTCCTGTGACTTGGTAGCTCCATCACAGTTGATTGTAACATGTGATTTTACATATCTAACTCAAACGATCAGTAAACTAATGTGCAGCAAGGTGCCTGTGTTCCAACAGCTGGCATGTAGTCAAATAAATTTGGATTTGAGGCTCTAACAGGATGTGCTTTAAAACCTGTCACAGGTCCAGCAACATATTCTTGTTCCTGGACTTTGCCCAAAATAGACAGCTTCTAGATGCTGTTGTCTAGATAAACCCTGGAAGCTACAGGTAGAGCAAAACATGTTGGGAAGGGGATATAAAAGCAGATATAACTCAGAACTATAAGATCTGATGTACCACTGCTTTTTCCCTGTCCAGAAGTTTTGCGGCAGTCTTGAGGCAGAGGTAGTGTCTGCAGCAACTTCAGCAATTGCAGATGCTCCCCCTGTCTGAAGAAGGGTGTTTTCACCCAAAAGGTTGCAAAGAAGAATTTTTCCAACTGGTTCAGTTGATCTAATAAAAGATATCACATTTACCCAAAGAACCTTGTCTGCCTGTGGTACATCCATAGCAGCTAATATGGTAGTAGCTGGAAGTTTGTCAATGGAAGCAAGTTTCTTTATGAAATCTGGGGTATCTTTCAAATAATTGGAAGCTCCTACAGCATATAGGAACAGTATTGAGTCAACATAGCGAGAAACTCCTTCGTTGATGGTGCCATTGTCAGAAACAGTGGAATATCCCTGGCTACCAGGGCTGTGGATCTTCGGTATGTAAAGAAAATGTGCTTTGCCTGGACTCCCAGGAGGTGGAAGCATGAAGTCTGATCTAGTGCATGCAGAGCCAGGAACCAATCTGGTGTGCATAGGGCTAGGGCTAAATCTGTCTGGGGTCCAGGATATTGCCTGAACCATGACTGCCTGTGGATTGACCCATAGGGACAGCAGCCCAGAAAGATTGGGCACCACTGCCACAGATACACCACTAATGACCTCCAGTCCAACCCCTCCTGGAAAATGATGACCATCTCAAGGTAGCCGCTGTGAACTAACCTGTTGTAGTTTGCTTGCTGACATCCCCCCAACTTCAAATGGTGTCTGTAACTCCTATTCTCACCAAGGCACCAGATCTTGCTCTGGAACTAGATGCCAGGTGCAATCCCTGATCAGCCCAGGACACATCATCACTGGACCAAATAACATGTATTATAACATGTAAAATTATTTACTTGCCCCTTTATCAATGTCACCTGCTCCTCTACTAACATCATATATTCCAGCAGCACCTTAGAAGGTCCCTTAGCTGTCTACACTGGAGAGGTAGTATAATCCTTATGTGTATGAGGAATGAACACTGATATGGCATCAATTCAGAAAGTCGCACAAGCCTGTGGGAGAACACCTTAAGTGTCCTGAGCATCCCACCTCTGACCTGAGCAGCTGTTCCTAGACAATGAAACCTTAAAACCAAACTTGAACACGCCATACAGAGATGTTGCTATGGTGCCATGCTTTAGTACTTCCTTTTGGCTGTGTGTGTGTGTGTGGCAGGGGGTTGTAGAGGGTGTGTGTGTGTGTGTGTGTGTGTGTGTGAAGCTGGCAGCACAGGGGCCAGTGGCTGTGCTCATGGGGATGAGGTGGCCAGGAGACACTGCCCAAGGAACAGAGAGAGGGGGAGGTTGGGGTGGGGAGCTGTAGCCAGGCTGCCTGGTGTGGCACAGGAGTCCCAGCCCAGGGCAGGGGATGCCACAGGCCTCCCCTCCCCTTCCCTTCTGCCCACCCCAGCGCTGGACATGTTTTGCTGCTGCCCTAATAAATTGGAATCACTGTGCTTCAGCCTGGTCGGGACAGGGGCAGCTGGGGGCCCCTTCAGCAGGCCTGGAGGGGCAGAGGGATGCGGGTTAGGAGTGAGGGTAACTGGCAGGGCTGGGGGGCTCTAGCTTGGGAGCGAGGGCATGGGAGGGGCAGGGGGATTGTAGGTCCAGAGTGTGTGGCACTGGCAGGGCTGGGGGCTGCAGGTTGGGACTGAAGGTCACCAGCATAGTCCGGGGAGCGAGGGACTGTGGGTTGGGAGTGAGTGGGGGCTGTGGTTTGGGGGTAGGGTGTCCCCCCAACAGGTGTCCTCTTTTTTGGAACTGGAAATATGGTAACCCTAACTCAGTGGGAATTTGCCTACATAATGACTAAGGAAAAACTGTATACAGTTTTCTCTAGTATGCACACCTCTCCCAATAAGCACTGAGTAAAGACAGAGTAGCACTGAAAACAGCTGCAAGGTTTACACATATCAATCCACTTTCAAAGCTGGAGTAAAATAACAATCTGTTTCTTAAACTTTTCAAATTACTTTTCTGTCTGCTGGTTTTCCCACATGTTCCATCCACTTTATGTGTTGCAATATAGCTTTAGAAGATGTTATGAGAAGAGCTGATGAGGAGGTTTTCAGCAAGGCATTTTTTTCTTTGGTAAAGTCAGTTCATTGAAACTGGTGTGGGAACATACCATTCTTGGCGAAACTTTGATCAAGAAAGGTTTCTCAGCTCCAGGACAGAATTTCTGGTCAAAATCAGAGGAAGTCAGTAAACAGACATCTTATTTGACACAGACATGTTTCTCCTGGGGTTTGACCTGTATCAAAACAGACAAGACATAGTTATTTTTACACTTCACCCTTGCAAGCTGCATTGCTGCCCCTCTGTCAGATTAGAGCACACAGCCTGAATGGCTTGTCCTAGGAAAAAGTACAATAACCTTACAAACACACATGGCCATGTCTTGGGAAAACTGTTAGCACATTTTATTCCACATACTCCAAAGGGACTTGAAATGGAACAGTGGACTTTGAGCTTTCTTCTCTGACAAATGCAACATCTATTTACAGCCAAAGAAAGAAAGAGGGAGACAAAAAAATATAAATAAATGAGGAAACAATCACCCTATTGCAGACTACCCACAAGCTGACTTAGGGTACACACCTGGGACACAAGAGATCCAAGTTCATGTCACTATTCTGATTAATACTTGTGTGAGACACAAGGATTTCTTAAGGTGGTATCTTTTACTGGACCAACTATGTAGTTGGGATAAAGTTAGACAAACTTTTGAGTGCAAGATTTCTTCCTCAGGTCTCTGATCAGTTGGACTAAATTTAGACACATTTTTGAATGCATGACATTCTTCCTGAGGTCTCTCATCAATACAATCAGAGATATCACCCAATAAAAGATGTCATCCTAAGAAATCCTTGCCTCTTGCAAAATTTTTGAGCCATTATGGGTGCATCTACATGAAACATTTACCATGGAGTTGACTAAATAGCTCTGCAGTAAAATGTCACTGTCTAGACATGTGCTGCTATTAGGATGGAATAAACTAATTAACTGAACTGTAGGATAGCACTGCCAAACACAAGTACTATCTTAAGGTGGAGTTATTTACTCCACCACAATGCATCTGTAGATGCTGACAGGGCTGACTAGGGCACCAGGGTGCTTCAGTGCAGGGGCTGTCTACAGGTTAGCCCCACACTGAAGCACCCTTTTGCCCCAGCCAGTCCTTCTGCAGCATGTTGAGCTATGTTGATGCAGCCCCAGGCTGGCAGGCTGACCTCTGGGACTCCTTGCCAGTCAGGTCAATGTGTTGTGGTCCCTGGTGCTCATGTAAACACTATGCCCAGGAGATAAACTCGAGTGCAAACTGCACTGGAGTTTATTCAGTCAAAATAATCTCACATGTAGGTGCACCCCATGGGTACAACACTACTGTTACATAATTATTAATGTTACATTAATATTTCATAATCTCTAAGTGGAACCACTCCAACAGAAGACTTCCAGACAATCACTCACAAAGGAGAGTTTCCTAGTTGACTCTAGGATTCAGGAAAGTGACAGAGAATGTACCCGAGGCTGGGTCTCGCACTTTTCAGCTGAAGCATGCTCAGTTTGCAATTCAAATGACTTTGTTTTCCTCCAACGTGCACAGAAACTGAGCTTTGCTCCTACATGAAACCTAGTTCATTGCCAAGCATCAATATTGATAGAGTTTCTGCAGGATAAATGATGCCCTCAGCTACTATTGGATTGCAAACTGAACACATCTGATATGGATATGAAAGAAATAATACAAAGCATCTTTAAAAAATAACCACTCCTTTTAAGTGAAGGATAGGTTTGGAACCACTTCTTTGATATGGCAAGCTGAAATATTTTAACACCAGCTGTCTCATCACTAATCAAGCTTTTGAAACAAACAAACAAAAAACTCCTCAGCCACATCCCCATGATCAGGGGTGCAAGGTTGCCATGTGGGGAGAGGAAGGAGTGGCACAAATTTGTGCGGCTGCCTTTTACCCCATCCCACAGCCTTGCATGTGGGGTTAGGGTGGGGAGAAGTGCTCTGGGTGGGATAGAGAAGGCTGCAGCCAATCCAGTAGTTCGAGCAGCCTTACCTGGGGTCTTCAGTACCTCTCAGGGCAGCAGCAACAATCCAGATGCACAGATTCTGGCCAGCAGCCAGAGGGTGGATCTGGTTGGCCAGGCTCTGACTTTGGGCAGTGCATGATGTTGATTTGGGTGTGACTTTTCTT